CCTCTCTATCTGCCCTTGGTCTGCCACTCCTCTTCCCCCACTCTCTCTCTCTCCCTCTCTCTCTCTTTCTCTTTCTCCCCCCCCTCCTATCTGCTGCTCACCTGGCAAGCTTCAATCTGTTGTCCAACAACCTCCGGGGTAGGCAACCTCGTCTCTTTTATGACTCATGGACTTCAACTCCCAGAATTCCTGAGTCAGCCTAGCTGGGCTAGCTAGCTCTCTCCTGCCCTTCCTGCTTCCTGTTTCCTGCAGAGACGCAGCAAAGGGAGGAGCTCCGCCCAGAAAGCTTTTCAGCTCCTCGGAGAACACTGTGAGTGCACTCTCTTTTACACACACACACACACAAAAAAAACACACACACACATACACACCCAGACACACACACAGAGAGAGAGAGAGAGAAGCAGGGAAGCGCAATTGCCTCTCTCTGTCTCTGTCTCTCTCTGCAAAGGCAGAGGAGGCTGGGAGCCACAGGGGGAGGCTCAAAGAACCGCATGCGGCTCCGGAGCCGCAGGTTGCTGACCTGTGCCCTACACCATTTCGTACAAATGGCTGTCCAGTTTCTTCTTAAAAACTTCCAGTGTTGGAGCATTCACTGCTTCTGGAGGCAGGCTGTTCCACTGATTAATTGTTCTCACTGTCAGGAAGTTTCTCCTTAGTTCTAGGTTGCTTCTCTTCTTGATTAGTTTCCACCTGTTGCTTCTTGTCCTGCCTTCAGGTGCTTTGGAGAATAGCTTGACTCCCTCTTCTTTATGGCAGGCCCTGAGATATTGGAATACTGCTATCATGTCCCCCCTCGTCCTTCTCTTCATTAAACTAGACATATCCAATTCTAGCAACCGTTCCTTATATGTTTTAGCCTCCAGTCCGCTGATCATCTTTGTTGCTCTTCTCTGTACTCTTTCTAGAGTCCCAACATCTTTTTTACATCGTGGTGACCAAAACTGGATGCAGTATTCCAAGTGTGGCCTTACCAAGGCATTGTAGAGTGGTATTAATACTTCTTGAAATGAAACCAGCTCTGGTTTTTCTGCTCAAAAACCTGCTTAGTTAAACAATAGACTCCCTTACCCCCACCCACCAGGAGTTCACGTTGTCCGATAGTAATATTTCTTCTAGTTATGGGAACTGTAAGGTCTCACCACAGCTATTCCCTCAAGAAAGCTTAACTCTTGAAACAGACATCATTTTAAAAGGATCTTTTATTGAGAGAAAGTGATTGCAGACAAAGCAGGCAGGATCTAAAGCTCCCCGCGCAAAACATTAGGTTAAACCCCCATCATTCAAACCCTTCCCAATTGCCCAGTCCGTAAAGAGCCAATCCAATAGTGCAAAGGTGTTGTGAGAACTCTGAGCCAAGAAGGTGATAACAAGTTGTTTTCAGGCGCTGCAACCTTGGTAGCAGGCAGGGTTCTCTGGAGACGAGGCAAACCAGGGGGAGGAGGCTCATCCCTCCTCCCCCTCCCAATTCCCAGGAAGATACATGAAAGCAAAAGAGGGACAAAGCAAAAATGAATACATCTTAGAAAGGTCCCAAGTCCCCCCCCCCCTTTTCTACCAGAAAGCCAGAAAACTATTCATCCCTCCCATCAGAATGGCAGTGTCTTGGGAGGGATCTATGGGGACCTGACAGGAACAGTCCACTTCTCCTTCAAGAGCTGGCCTTGGGCTCTCGGTTGCCTAGATACCATTCCTCCCTCCCTTGCATTCCACCGTCAAGATATGAGCAGGAGAAAAAAATGTAGGCGAAAAAGCAAATCAGTCTTGACAATATGAAGGTGGAGTGTGGTGTTCGAAGCACTACGGCAGGGGTGTCAAACTGCTGGCCCGCAGGCCGGATGCATCACGAAACCACGCCCATCCCATTGCCGGCAATGGGGAAAAAGCTCCGATATGTCGTGCGGCGTAACATGACATTGCGAGTTTGACATGTCTGCACTAGGGAGTAACGCAGTCTTCCTTTTTTTTCTTGACTATTGTTCCAGGCGCAGAAGCCCTTCATTGAGATGGCCGTTGAACACTATGAAACATATTCTCCTCAGGAGCTGGTCTTGGAGGGAATCTCCCAGGAGAAACCACCTCTGGCTCCATCTTCAGGTAAAGGAAGGCTCTTCTGGTCCATAATGTCCATAATGCCTGAATTCTTCATGATCTTGTTTTGCAAAACTACTTCCGCTCTCTATCTGAGTAGCGTGATAACCTAGTGGTGAAGCCGCTCGCCTCCCACTTGGAAAGCTGAGAGTTCAGTCCTAGGTACAGACAGATATAGCATCAGGAAGGGCATCTAGATAAGATGATAAGATAAGATAAGAGAAAATAAGATAACCTTTATTGTCCTTTTTTTTTACTGTGGGCACAACGGCACACATCAAAAATGAAATTTAGTTGCCTGCTCTCAAAATGAAACACATACATGATACACACCTAAACGTACTATATACAACGTATGTATAGACCCACACTCCCACATATACATGACAAATATTAAATATTGTCCATTGTCTTGAATATATAACGGAAGGAGGAAGCTTGAGAGTTCACAAGGTTAATGCTGTACGGAATGAAACTATGGCTGAATCTGGATGTTCTGCTACGGAGACCACGAAGCCTCCTCCCAGAAGGTAGCAAGGAAAACAGGTCATGAAGAGGATGTGTAGTGTCCCAGATAATCTTGCAGACCCTGCTCAAGCAACGCTTCTGTGCTATGTCCTGGATGGGAGGGAGGGAACAGCCAATGATCTTTTTGGCCATTCTCACCACTCTCTGCACCGCCTTCCTGTCTGAAAAATCCTCAGCTGTATTCTATTTTTGTCCCAAATGGTATAGACTTTTCTGCCTGAGCCAGGGGGTTGGACTAGAAGACCTCCAAGGTCCCTTCCACTTTATAATTCAATTCGATTCGATTCGATTGTCACCTCAGGTCTATCCCGAATTAAAAGATTGTAGGGTCTTAAAAAGAAAAAAAAACCTTTAGCTCTGTGTGTAAGAAGGCCATTGTATTTAGCATTGTTTTTTTAATTTGTATCCACTTTTATTATTTTTACAAATAACTGTAGGGTGAACATACTCAACACACGTTCTTTCTCCTATTTTTCCCACAACCACCACCCTGTGAAATGGGTTGGGCTGAGAGAGAATGACTGTCTCAAAGTCACCCATGCTGACTTTCATGGCTAAGGTGGTACTAGAACTCATGGACTCCAAGTTTCTAGTCTGATGTCTTAACTACCAGACCAAACGATGCTAAATGTTTTTAAAACATGTAATTATTTGTTTTTGTTTTTTTATCTCTATCTTGGCAAATGGTACAACAGTGATGCTACCTGTGGAAACGTCTCTTCATTGTGTTGGAACAGATACAGTGGATGTACTTCCATCTCAGGTAGGAATGAGATCTTCTAGTACCAATGTGATTTCTACAAAGAGATTCCTAATCCATCCTTAATGGTTCAAATCTCATTTCCAGTGCCATTTCCTTTATTTTATTTTATTATTTTATTATTTTATTTTATTATTTTATTTTATTTATTATTTTATTTATTTTATTTTATTATTTTATTTTATTATTTCATTATTTTATTTTATTATGTTATGTTATGTTATTATTTTATTTTTTTATTTATTTTATTATTTTATTTATTTATTATTTTATTTATTTTATTTTATTATTTTATTTTATTATTTTATTTTATTTTATTATTTCATTATTTTATTTTGTTATGTTATGTTATTATTTTATTTTTTTATTTATTTTATTATTTTATTTATTTATTATTTTATTTATTTTATTTTATTATTTTATTTTATTATTTTATTTTATTTATTTTATTTTTTATTATTTTATATTTTATTTTATTATTTTATTTTATTATTTATTTATTTTATTTTATATTTTATTTTATTTATTTTTTTATATTTTATTTTATTATTTATTTATTTTGTTTTCTTTTATTTATTTTATTTTATTTATTTTATTTTATTTTATTATTTTATTTTTTTATTTTATTTTAATCTTTCTAGCCAGCTTTTGGATCATGAGCAGCTTCCGCTTTTCTAATTCCTGGAGGATATTGAAGATCGTTTTAAGTTATTTCCATTAAGCTAGAAGACTTGATAAGTTCCTGAAATGTCCACTTAATTGGGATTTTTTTCTTTTTTTCTGTGTTAGGAGCCCATAACCTTTGAAGATGTAGCGGTGCTGTTCTCCGAGGGGGAGTGGGCCATGCTGAATTGCGAACAAAAATCTCTATACAAGGAGGTGACGCTGGAAAATGCAAACAATGTGGTCTTTTTAGGTAAGGGAGTTTCTTTCCTCTGGGCTCAGAAATATTGGAAGATATATGAGCCATAATAGCCCAGTGGTTAGAATGCAGTACTGCAGGCTAATTCTGCCAACTGCCAGCAGTTCGATTCTCACTGGGTCAAGGTTGACAACCTCCCATCCTTCCAAGGTTGATAAAATGAGGACTCAGATTGTTGGGGGCAATATGCTGACTCTGTAAACCACTTAGCGAGGGCTGTAAAGCACTGTGAAGCAGTATGTAAGTCTAAGTATTATTGCTATTCTAGTAAAAAAAAAAGTAGCTGGTTTATTTAATAGACAAAATTCTGATCTGGTATTATTCTGTCTATGGAAAAGAAGAGTATTGTATCTGCACCACTTGTAGGAAAAGCTAAAATCTTCATACCATTTCTGTACGGATATCCTACGTTCGTATCTCATGAAATTTTATCTTTCTTTTTTTGTCCCAAGCAGGTGATGGGCTAGAGACCAAGAATTATACAAAGCAAGTTGTGGATTTTTCAAAATCTCTTGAAACTGAAATCAGAAGAGAGAGATTTGGAAATCAGTGCAGACCAGAAAGTCCCAAGAGAAGCCAGTTAAATAGAGACATGGAGAAATCCCTCATCTCTCCATATGCATGCAGGGACAATGATAAAAAATGTAGTTGGAACCTTCTTCTTACTTTACACCAAGATTTTGACAGTATAGATAAAAGATATAAATGCATGGAGTGTGGGAAAAGCTTCAGCAAGAACAGTAATCTTAATGCCCATAAAAGGATCCACATGGTAGAAAAACCATATAAATGCATGGAATGTGGAAAGAGCTTCTGCAGGAATGATACTCTTACTTCCCATAAACGGATCCATTCTGGGGAGAAACCATATAAATGCCTGGAGTGTGGAAAAAGCTTCCGCAAGAGCAGTCATCTTCATGCCCATAAAAAGATCCACATGGTAGAAAAACCATATAAATGCACGGAATGCGGAAAGAGCTTCTGCAGGAATGATAATCTTACTTCCCATAAACGGATCCATTCTGGAGAGAAACCATATAAATGCCTGGAGTGTGGAAAAAGCTTCCGCAAGAACAGTCATCTTACATCTCATAAAAGGATCCACGTGGTAGAAAAACCATATAAATGCATGGAATGCGGAAAGAGCTTCTGCAGGAATGGTAATCTTACTTTCCATAAACAGATCCATTCCGGGGAGAAACCATATAAATGCCTGGAGTGTGGAAAAAGCTTCCGCAAGAGCAGTCATCTTCATGCCCATAAAAAGATCCACATGGTAGAAAAACCATATAAATGCACGGAATGCGGAAAGAGCTTCTGCAGGAATGGTAATCTTACTTCCCATAAACAGATCCATTCCGGAGAGAAACCATATAAATGCCTGGAGTGTGGAAAAAGCTTCTACAAGAGCAGTCATCTTACATCTCATAAAACAATCCACACTGGACTGAAGCCGTATAAATGCATGGAGTGTGGAAAGAATTTCAGTATGAACAGTTCTCTAACTTCTCATAAAAGGATCCACACTGGGGAAAAGCCGTATAAATGCACGGAGTGTGGGAAGTGTTTCAGTGGCTTGACCTCCTTTACCACTCATAAAAGACTCCACTCAGGTGAAAAACCATTTAAATGCACGGAGTGTGGAAAATGTTTTAGAGGGTTGAGTTCATTTACTTCCCATAAAAGGATTCACTCAGGAGAAAAACCCTATGAATGCACACAGTGCGGAAAGTGCTTCAATAGGAACTATTCCCTTACCTTTCATAAAACAATCCACACAGGAGTGAAACCTTACAAATGTGTGGAGTGTGGGAAGAGTTTCAGTATGAACAGTTCTCTAACTTCTCATAAAAGGATCCACACAGGAGAAAAACCATACAAATGCATGGAATGTGGGAAAAGCTTCTGCATGAGCAGTAACCTTACTTCCCACAAAAGGATTCACAGTGATCCAAAAACATCAAAACATGTAGAGTGTGGGAAAAACTTTGATAAGAGTTTTTCCAATAAAAAGATCCTCACAGGGCAGAAAACGTATCAGTGCATGGAATGTGGCAAATGCTTTAGTAAGAGTAGTTCCCTTACTTCCCATAAAACAATTCATACTGGAGAGAAACCCTATCAATGTGTGGACTGTGGAAAGAGTTTTACTCAGAATAGTAATCTTACATCCCACAAAAGAATTCACAGTGGGGAGAAACCCTATAAATGTACCGAATGTGGAAGGAGCTTCAGTATGAACAGTTCCCTTACTTCCCACAAAAGGACCCACACAGGGGAGAAACCATATAAATGTATGGTGTGTGGAAAGAGCTGCACTACTAGCAGTGATCTAACTACTCATAAAAGGATCCACTCAGGAGAGAAACCCTATAAATGCATGGAATGTGGAAAGAGCTTCACTATACGTTCTTCCCTTACTTCCCATAGAAGGACCCACACCGGTGAGAAACCCTATAAATGCATGGAGTGTGGAAAAAGTTTTAGTATTAACTATTCTCTAACCTGCCATAAAAGGGTCCACACAGGAGAAAAACCCTCTAAATGCATGGAGTGTGGAAAGAGCTTCAGTATGAGGAGTAACCTTACTTCTCATAAAAAGATCCACGGAAGGGGAAAGCCATATGAATGTTGTCAGTGAATTGTGATACCTCAGAAACATGATTAATCAATTCATGATTAATTGATTAATCATCATGAATTGATTGATTGATGAATTAATAAGCACTTAATTTGGAATTTCCTTCAGTAGCAAATTTGCTTCTCATAAAAGTATTCCCTCAGAGAAGAAATTGTATCAATAGATTGAGTGTAAGGAAAGCTTTAGCTAAAGCAATCCATTTCCCCTCTCAAAAATAATTCACACATTTTGGGAAAAATTGTGACAAACTGGAACATGTCTAGAGGAGAGTGACTAAGATGACAAAAGGCCAGAATGGAAAGGCTTATGGGTAGTAGTTAGAGCCACTTGGTGTCAATGTTCTGACTAAAAAATCCAACCAAGTAAGCACCGATGCGATGATCCAATTTTTTTGTGCAAAACTGTATTAGGTATATCATTTCGGCACGAATGAAAGCAAAACCAGCTCTGGTTATTTCCCACGCAAACTGCTATCATTAAAATAGAATTCTCCCCCTCTGAATGCAGGTCACATTGTTCAAGTGTTAAAATATTGTTATGGGAAAGTATCTTTGTTTATGGGTAAACACTTGTTGAAACATCCTTGGTTCATACGGTTGGTTTTTTTTGGATTCTGCATTCCATTTCCTCCCCTCTTTTCCCCCTGAGTGCAATGGCAAGCTAAGAAGCAGTAACGATAGCAATATTGTGCACACACTTTAAGCTTGACACTGGGCCTGCTTAGCACCTGGACTGCAGTAACATGACAATTGTTTTCTAAGTATCTCCAGGTCTGTCATGTAGAAAGTTGGTTGATTTATGTAGAATTTATCGACAAGACAGAAAGTTTCTGTTAATGACAAGAGCTGTTCAACGATGAAGAAACACCAAGGATTGGATTGGGTGTTGAACAAGATGACCTCTGAGGTCCATCTCAACTCATCTGTTCTCTCATTCCATGATCCTGTCAGGAACCAAAGCAAGACATGGCTCAAGGGCAACTTCTCTGAATTTGTGAGAGAAAATAGCTTACAAGATATTTCAGGTTGAGAATATCTTTATCATGTTGCTTTATTTAGTTGATAATACCTCCCCACTACCTCAGTAGACAGCAGGAGACTCAGAGAATCCTCACCCTGATGGAGGTGGAAATAAACGAAATGCTAAAGTATACATATCCAATTGCCAAAGTTTTTATAGCCTGGCCTTTCTCCTTTTAATAAATCTAGTTTGATAACTTAGAGTTGTTATTTTTTAATTATAAAGGTAATCCTTGATGTACGGCCAGTCGCATAATAACCATTCAGAGTTACAAGAGACTTCAAAAATTAGGAGCTGTCCTTAAAGTTATGACTGCCATCCCTTCCCCCTCCCTGCAATCACATGATTGCATTTTGGGCAACTGGTTTGGCATTTGTGGCTGATTGTAGCATCTTGTGGTCATGTGATCACAATGTGCAACTTTTTTTTGCCATTTTGCAGCAAAAGAAATCCCCACCTATTAACTATGCCGTGGTGGTGCAGTGGTTAGAATGCAGTACTGCAAGCTACTTCTGCTGACTGCAGTTTGGCAGTTTGATCCTGACCGGCTCAAGGTTGACTCAGCCTTCCATCCTTCCAAGGTCGGTAAAATGAGGACCCAGATGGGTTGAGGGCAATAACCTGATTCTGTAAAACCACTTAGAGATGGCTGTAGAAGCACTGTGAAGTGGTATATAAGACACAAGTGCTATTGCTATTTCTAACTTAACAATTGCAATGATTCACTTAACGGTCGTAAAACGGGGCTAAAACCATTCAACAAATGTTTCCCTTGGCAGCATCAATTTGGGGCTCAATTGTCATAAGTTGAGGACTACCTGGAATGCCATTGAAAGAGTCGCTTGCTGCGACAGGCAAAAAAAGAATAAACATTGTATCATTTCTTCACTACCTACACTGGCTGATGCAGTAGTGCTTTTTTGAGACTAAATTCAAAATGCTGGTTTTGACCACAATGTAGGATCTGGTTGTCTGAAGGAGTGACTTCTCTCTATATACCTACCCATACTTCAGGTTATCCAATGAAGCCCTCCAGGTGCCACCACCCATGGGTCTCTACAGGGAATTTATGGAATCTATATATTCAGTTTGTGTAGTTACCAATCTCCACTTTCACTGCCGGTTTCCATCAAGCAAAGACAATGGAGAAGCTGGCAGAAGATCTTAAGTAATGACCACACGTTCAAGGGACACTGTGACTGCATGGGATTCCCTTCATGATGGCAACAGGGATTCCACAATTCCTGTTAGTTGGCACAATCACATGGTGTTAGACTTCACAACTGTGTGGTTTACCGAAGGAGTTGCTGGTCCCAATCACCATGGTTAAGCAAGGACTACTGTTTTACCAAAACCCAGCAATTGATGCAAAATTTTATTTATTAAACTAATGTATATGTCCCTCCCCCAAATCACACACAGGTGACTCCAGGCATCTTACAATATTTAAGATCCATAAGATCCCCTCCTTCCCCAGTCGCAGCAGCAACACAATCAAACCAACACTTGATTGATCCTGTCTCCATTCAGGGTCCTCAGGCTGACCAACATTGTGCCAAACATTGTTAGGCAAGGACCCCAGGGGCTGGGCATTGGACCTCTTAACCTTGATCAATACCATGTGAAAATAGCCTTGAAGAAGGAAGTGAATCAAGACAACACAGTGTCCTCACTCTCAACTCATGTAGCCATTTGTGAAGGATACCATGGTTGATGGTATTAAAAGCCTCTGACAGGTTACCCAGAGTGAAACTTGACACACTACCACCATCTTGTTCCCATCAGAGAACATCAAAAAGCATGACTACTAGTTTCCATTTCATATCCAGGTGTGAATCCTGACTTCATCCAGGATCCCCTGAAGCTGCAGTATGACCAAATTGTCATCCCCAACAAGGGTAAACTGGAGATAGGAGGAAGGTTCTCCATCTGGGTGGAAGCTAGTGATGGCTTCTTAAGAAAGGGGTGAACCAAAGCCACCTTAAAGTATTGAGGCTCCATTCCTTTCACCAAAGAAGCATTTACCACTGCCAACCCCACCTTCATGTTACCATCCAGAAGGTCTTAACCAGCTGGCAAGGGGACATGGATCTAAAATACAGATGACCAAGCTCATAATCATAATCTTTCCTCAGGAGCTATAGAGTCTGTTTATTTATTTATTTATTTATTTATTTATTTATTTATTTATTTATTTGTGAGACTTATATACGCTTTAAGTGCAAGCACTCTCTAAGCGGTGTACACCAGTAAGCAGTGTATATATATATTTACATTGCCCCCAACAATCTGGGTCCTCATTTTACCTACCCCGGAAGGATGGAAGGCTGAGTCAACCTTGAGCCAGTGAGATTTGAACCGCTGACCTGCTGAACACAGTCAGCTAAAGTGGCCTGCAGTACTGCACTCTAACTGCTGTGCCACCTCGGATCTTATCTGTTCCCAGATAAGCAGGCAAAGATATATTCTGGGTATCTCTACTGGGCCAATATTCATGAATGAATCCTAGAACTTCAGGAAAATCTTTAGCACACCCTGCAGCTGAACCTCCAAGTCTTTCTTCCGCAGGAGCAATTGGGTCACACAAAAAGGCCCACTAGGTGATTATCTGCAGATGTCATTTGTGCAGAGATGCATTTGTACTTTGCCACACAAATCGCAATAAAATAGGCTTTGATAGCAGCTCTTACCCATGTTTGCTAAAGTTAGCTCTTTGTCTTCTGCCTGTGTCGCTCTTGTTGTTGTTGTTAATTGCGAAGTCATGTCCGACCCATCGCAACCCTATGGACAACATTCCTCCAGGTCTTCCTGTCCTCTACCATCTTCTGGAGTCCATTTAAGTTCACACCTACTGTGTCGCTCTAATTACCTCTTAATCCATTTCATTTCTCTCAAAGATGCTTTTTCAGGAGGCCACTGGAATTTCTTGTTCTTTTTCTGAAGACATTTCACTTCTCATCTAAGAAGCTTCTTCAGCTCTGACTGGATGGTGAAGAATAGAAGGATTTATGTTCCTTGCAGACAGCTGGTCATTTGCATTCTTTTAGAGGCCCCCTGCAGATTTATCTGTATCCTCAGGGTCACCTGAGTGGTGGAAATGTGTGTGGAGCCTTCTTGGAACTGCTGAAAAAACTGTATTGTAGACTGGAGATAGATCAGCGGTTCTCAACCTATGGGTCGTGACCCCATTTGGGGTCGATCAACCATTTCACGGGGGTCGCCAAGCAAGGCTGTCCGCCATTTTTTCCCCTTTTCCGGCGGGTGCCTTATCTCCCTTGGGCTGGGCCAGCTGGTGGCCCAGCCGGTGGTCGGCCTGCTCCGTCTCTGCCGCTTGCCAGCTGCGCCTCGGCCAGTGCAGGGGGCGGCACCACGCATGCGTGGCGCTCCCGGGCAGGGAAAGTCCTCGACTTACGACCAGTTGGGTAGTCCTCGGCTTATGACCGGTTTAGTTCTTGACTTACGACCGGTTTAGTCCTTGACCTACGACTGGTTGGGGGTCATGGCATTAAAAAGGTTGAGAACCACTGAGATAGATGATGTTGAATAGTCCTCTATCAACAAAGGAGGAGGGATATGACATCATTCATCTCCAGTTTACAAAACAGTCCTTTTCAACAGTTCCAAGAAGGCTCCGCACCCATTTGCACTACTCAGGTGATTTTGACAACTCAGATAAACCTCCAGGTGGCCTCAACTGTCTAAAAGAAGGCAAATGACCAGCTGTCTGCAAGGAGTATAAATCTTTCCATTCCCCACCATCCAAGGAGAAGCTTCTTGGATGAGAAGGAAAACCTCTTCAAAGAAAAACAAGAAAGTCCAGTTGCCTCATGAAAAACATCTTTGGGACATTTGGGAATGACAAGATCCATGGGTCAAGAGAGGCTGCTTAGACACAATATAGTCTAGGACCTCACCTTCTTAATCCGAGTAGTAACTATGCAGAGGATTCTCAGGTAAAATTCCCAGCTCTCTCTGAAACCTATCAGGGTCCATCAATCACCAAGAAAATTGAGAAGGCTGGCTGCAAAGTTTAGTTTGGAAAGGTCCTTTAATACCTTGTTGTTACTAGAATTACTGCTCACAGGGGACAGCTGAAGGCCACACACTTTTCTTCAAACTGGGGTCCTTTCTCCAGCAAGGTATGCCTTCCAGACTCTTAGTTTGACTGAAAAGAGGAACTGTTTCCTACAAACGACATTGGAACTCTTAACATGACTATAGTTTTAAGTGGAAGCCAAACTGGGGATATAGTTTAGAGCAGAGGTCTGCAACCTTTGGAGCACGAGGGGCCGGTTCCGTGCAGAAAGGGTTTTTTGCAGACCGGAGGGGTGTGGTTTCATGTACTGCCTGCATCCCACGGATGGGGCTTTGTTTGCGTGGGCCGGTTTCTGGCACGCCGTGGCCTGGTGCCAGTCCACCAGGCTTAGAGCAAGGGAACAAATTAGATTATAAAGCATTAAGCATTATATGTGTGTGTGTGTGCGTGTGTGTGTGTAGGTCTTTGGTTATTTGGGTTTTCTCCCGCGTCAAATTGGAAGTGTCTTGGCGACGTTTCGATGAAGTCTCATTCATCATCTTCAGGCTGGTGTTTTCAGCTTCGTGCTTCTAGCATTGCTCTTAGAAGCATGAAGCTGAAAATACCAGCCTGAAGATGACGAATGAGACTTCGTCAAAATGTCGCCAAGACACTTCCAATTTGACGCAGGAGAAAACCCGAATAACCAAAGATCTACATACAAACACCTGCGAAAACCTCAGAAAACATATATATGTTGATATGCTTACTTTTTCCCTGTTATTGGTTCTTTTGTGTTCAAATCAGGCCTTAAGATGATAATGTAGCACTTGGGAATGAAGATGCAGCCCAACAGACCAGCACTGGAGGCCAAGATGGAGAAGACCTGAACAGTCACCATGTACTTCTCTTTGGTGCTCAGGTAGGTGGGCACGAAGGAGATCCAGACACTGCAGAAGACCAGCATGCTGAAGGTGATCAGCTTGGCTTCGTTGAAGGCCCCAGGCAGCTTTCTGGCCAGGAAAGCCACCGTGAAGCAAATGGCGGCCAGGAAGCCCATGTAAGCAAGGGCACCATAAAACATTGTGACAGAGCCTTCGTTGCACTTCAGGACCATCTCTTCATGTGCATGTCAGACTTAGGAAATGGAGGAGAAACCCCCAACCAGATGATACAGATGAGAGTTTGGACACCAGAACAAGAAAAAACAGTAGAGTTGGCTAATCTCTTTCCCAACCATCGCTGGACCTTGTTTCCCGGTTTTGTAGCCAGGAAGGCCAGTACCACCATTAATGTTTTGGCCCAAACTGAAGAAACAGCAACTGTGAAGATAATGCTAAACATTGTTTGTTGGAGAAGACAAGTAACTTTCTTTGGCTGGCCAATGAACAGAAAGGAGGTCAAGAAGGAAAGCAAGAGGGAAACGAGGAGGATATAGGAAAGGTCCCAGTTATTTGCTTTAACGATTGGAGTTTGTAGAAATTTAATGAAGATTCCTAACACAAAGGTGGTGATTAATGAGAAGGATAAGGCCAAGGAAGCCAGGATGATGCCCAAATATACTTCAAAAGAAAGGAAAGTTACAATCTTAGGGACACATTGATATTGGCCTTCGTTTGGATGCTGATCTTCTGGACATTTGTGGCAATCACTTGCATCTAAGAAGAAGTCGATGAATGGCTTTAGAACAGTGGTTCTCAACCTTTTTAATGCCGCGACCCCCCAACCGATCGTAAGTCAAGGACTACTCAACTGGTCATAAGTCGAGGACTACTCAACTGGTGCAGCACCGTTTGCAGAATGGGACTTTTGGCGGGCTCAGCAGGGCAGAGACAGCCTGGACAATTCCTATTGGCTTTTGAAAGCCAATAGAATTAGACTCTATTCAAGAGAGTCTATTCTATTGGCTTTCAAAAGCCAATAGAATAAAAGGGAGTAGCACAGCTAAGGAAAAGGGGAAAAAATGGCGGACTGCGTTGTTTGGCGACCCCTGTGAAATGGTCGGGACCCCAAATGGGGTCCCGACCCACAGGTTGAGAACCACTGCTTTAGAATCACTAGCATCAATTCTATGCCTCCTTAAATTAAAATAATTAGTGTAAAAGCCATAAAAACTGCTAATGTCATTCAGAATAAAATAGCAATAGCACTTAGACTTATAGACCTATGGAGATTCTCAGTCATCCAGGTCATAGTTGTCCCAAAGATACTTTTTCAGGAGGCAACTGGACTGTCTTGTTTTTCTTTGAAGATGTTTCGCTTCTCATCCAAGAAGTTTCTTCAGATGGTGAAAAAATGGATTTATACTCCATGCAGACAGCTGGTCATTTGCATTCATTTAGAGCAGGGGTGTCAAACTGCCGTCCCCATGGGCCGGATGCGTCACATGGAAGCTGCGCCCATCCCATTGCCGGCAATGGCAAAACAGTCCCGATACATTGCGTGACACCATGTGGCGTCGCAAGTTTGACATGTCTGCTTTAGAGAGTTGTTGAGGCCACCTGAACAGATAAACCTCCAGGCTGGCCTCAACAACTCTCCAAAAGGATGCAAGTGACCAGCTGTCTGGAAGAAGTATAAATCCTTCCATCCCCCACCCTCCAGTCAGAACTGAAGAAGCTTCTTGAATGAGAAGTAAAACGTCTGCAAAGGAAAAACAAGAAAGTCCACTTGCCTCCTGGAAAAGCATCTTTTAGACCAGCGGTTCTCAAGGTTTGTGTGACGGCGACCCCCGTCACACAAACCTTATGCGCATGCGCGCCGCGGCGCGCATGGGGGCGGGGTCCTCGTGTGCGGCGCGCATGCGCGGCGCCACCCCCGGAGGCGCGCCGCCACCCCCACGCGCGGCACAGCCCCCCCCGGAGGCGCAGCGCGCCCCCGGAGGGGACAAAATGGCGGGTCGCCGCCTTTGGCGACCCCCGAAAAGAGGTCGATCGACCCCAAATGGGGTCGTGACCCATAGGTTGAGAACCGCTGTTTTAGACTTATATACTGCTTCACAATGCTTTATAGCCTTCTCTAAGCAGTTTTCAGAATCAGTCTATTGCCCCCAACAATCTGGGTCCTCAGTTTACCGACCTTGGAAGGATGGAAGGCTGAATCAAACTTGA